AATCTGTGAAAATTCGTCCGTTGCACCGCACAAACCCACCGCATTCAGATTATTTAGGCTTTTTAAAATTATGTTCGTTTCGTTCAATCTTGTTCGCGCTGTGTTCGTTGCGCTTTTTCGAGTTCAGCCTCCATCCACATGTGCGTGTAACGCTTACGATTGACTAAACGTTCGATTTTCCGACCGATAGCGAAAACGCGGCTAGAAAATCATGAAAAAATCGCGTCGCAATAAACGTTCAATTTTGTAGATTGAAGTATCCAGTTGAAGCAATCAAGAAAAAATATAACTTCAGTTCAGTGATCAGCTGAAGAAATCAGTCAATTGATGAAATTTGGTCATTCGCATCGTGTAAACTCAAAACTTATGTTCGTTTCGTTCAGTCTTGTTCGCGTCATTGTTCGTTGCGCTTTTTCGCGTGCGTTGCGTGTAACGCTATGATCGACAAAACGTTCGATTTTCCACACGATAGCGAAAAGGCGGCTAGAAAATCAGGAAAAAGGCGCGTCTTAATAGACGTTCAATTTAGTAGATTAAAGGATCAAGTTGAAACATTCAGGAAAAAAGGAGGCGATGCCGTGTTATGGCGGCCAGAGTTGTTATGATTATTACGTCGTATTATTTTAATGGAACACACAAAATGGGTGTAGGACGGCTTTCCATTGGATACCAGAGGCGTAGGGGCGGGTAGTTTACGGAACTTTGCAGCTAAATGCAATCACCCGATATTTAAAAAAAATCGTTTGCGTTCAGGGTTGAGGGTAAATTAGTAAAACCCCAAAATATTCGAATAATGATTATTGTCTGATGGGGGTGTAGGTATATAAAAAGCGACATAAATGTTGCATATGAGAAATCCGTTCATTTGGCAAATTGAAAATTCATTTGCACATTAAAACCGGTGGCGATTGCAAAATTAATCACTTTCATTCCACTCATATCATTTGCCATACTTTTAATTATAATTAAATAATATGTGCCCAAGAGGAATGTGCTAGTCAGTAGCGCACACATAAAAGTCGGTGTTTTTTCACAGTTTTCCAACCAGACGAAATGCACCAATACGACCGATTGAAAAACACCGATGTGAATTTGAAACGAAATAAAGGGCAAACGAACAAGAAGCGCCATGTGGCTAAATTAATAACTGGCAGAAACTTAAAAAAAAGCTTTTTCGTTAATGGGAAGCGGGAGGGCTTATCCAGGGCCGCTAATGTAATTTGTTCATCTGAACATGTTTAGTGGGCTTTCGCGTGACTTCTACTTTTTTCAAAAGGCCCCGCTTTTATTATTCCGCGCTTTCGTTTATCTTTTGTTAATTATTTTTATGAATCCCCGCTCTCAGGTTGTATGCTTTTTGCTACATCGGCACGCATACGGGGATTAATCATTTCCCGGCATCATCGAAGCACACACAGGAACTCAATATTTCTAATTATTTTTTAATTTTTATTTAATGGATTTTGAATTAATGTTTTGTCTAGAACAGTTCAATAAGAATGTTTTAACTTTCAGGGGCAGAATCGTTTGAGTTTCCATTTGCTATTTGTATTGATCAAAACTGTTGGTTTCTTAGATAAGTTCTATA